GGAGGTTACTACGGCGGCATATTGCCCAGTGTAGCTCACGCTAGAACCGAACGCATCACCGGTCTCACCGTTCATCGCGAGGTCCAAGTGCCGGTCCCAGTGCCGCAGCCGGTCCCGGTCGAAGTAACCAAGCACGTGCCCGTCCCGCACCCCGTTCCCTACAAGGTGGATCGTCCCTACGCTGTCCCAGTGGCGCAGCCAGTGCCTGTCCCAGTCACCCGTCACGTGCCCTACAAGGTGGACCGTCCCTATCCGGTTCCAGTAGCGCAACCCGTCGAAGTACGCGTGCCACAACCGGTGCCGGTTCCGGTGGCGCAGCCAGTCCCTGTTCCGGTCTCCGTTACGAGACACGTGCCGGTCTCCGTGCCGTCCGTTAACGTTGTGCCATCGACCATCGGCGTCGTACCGTCCACCGTCGGTGTCGGCGTCGTGCCGTCCACCGTGGGCGTCGTGCCGTCCACCGTGGGCGTTCCTTCGTCCGTCGGTATCGCGCCCGCGGCCGTCGGCATCGCATCCGGACACGAATTTGGTCTGGGATCCATCTCGAGTGCGCCATTCGCTAGCGGATTCAGCACCGGTTTGATAGACGGCGGCGTTGTCAGTAGCGGCATCCATGGCATCCATGGCATCCATGGCATTGGAAGTGGCGTGGAACACGTTGGCATCCCCAGTGGCGTAGAACACATTGGACTCGGCAGCGGTTCGATCTTGGGATCCACCGGCACGATTCCCTTGCCGGAAGTTTTCGATGCTACACATCCATTGAAGAAGTGGTAAACAAGCCAACAGCTCGATTGGACTGTGTGTGTCTCAATTTTCTCAAGAGTAATTGACGAAACGCAAAACTCTCGTTGTCAAATAAATTTATATTTTTTTATCATGTATTACAGAGTCATCATTTAACTGTGTAATATTAATTATAGTTATACGATTATGACTCTCTTTCTCATTAAGATGATTTGTCAAATTCCTATCCCAATTTAGATCTTTTTGTTAAATAAATATTATTACCAGTTATCAATTTGTAACAATTATTTTCTCCACTTTACAATTTTTTTTCCATCTTAAAATGTCTTCAATCTATAATCATCAATCAATCTATAATCATTTCATAGTATTTTCTAAAAAGAATTTCGACATTTTTGATCTAATAATTCAGACATGTTCAGACATTCTTTTAAGATTTTATCGAAAATATAATTTAAAAGATTTTAAAAAACAAAGGATATTTTAGAAATCTTCAAACAATAAAAAATGAAAAGAAAAAATACAATATTAGAATACATTAGATAATCTAATATAGAACTATCTAACAAATGCGAAAAGTAAAACTAAAATTCAAGGATTATAGCAATATTAAACATTTCAAGGAAAAAGCGCAATTTCATCCACAAAAGATCCATAAATTTTTTTAGAAAAATTTCTTGCACATTCATCTTCGTGTTCGGAAATTGCCTAATTTACGAATCTCATCGACAAAGCGAGGTATTAAATGAAAAGGTCAGGAGTAACATATGTCACCCATCTCGCTTCCAGAATCAAAATGGAGGTGTCTCTACAAACACACGGCACATAGGATGAAATCAATGCAATTGACTATCCTGACATTTTGTACGGTGGAAGAAATGACGTCACAAAGTTTCTTTCACGTCACACGGTACTTGCAAGCTGGACACAAATCCAAGCTTTGTGAATAGATAAAGTACAAATCGATTTTTCTAGACAGTTAAAACCAAGAAATATCAAATAAGTCATTTCAGCAGCTAAAATAATTCAATTTCATTATTTGATTTGTCTTATTTATTAAAATATAAAACTTTTCTATTTTTGTAAAATATAATTATATATAATATATATTATACGAATGTATTATATTTAAGAATGTAAATTACAAACGTTATATGTTATTATATAATCATATGCATATTGTTGTTTTATGCAATAATATGAAGCAAAGAATCTACTTTATTAGAAATATATTAATATTAATTTAAAATATCAATAAATTCAATATAATTATTTAATATTAATTTTAATTTATGAAATGTCAATAAAATAACACGAATAAATTTTTGATGTAATATACATATATTGTTTAATATGTAAAGTAAATTATAAATTTACTTTATCAAGTTCTTTTAATCAACTTTTTTGCAAATAATGAAAATAAAAGAATTTATTATTAATTACTAATAAAATTTATTATTAATTACTAATAAAGTAAATTTAATAGTGGAAGTAACATATCCACCCTTTCTACAAACGATAATGTATTTCATCAAGATATAGATACAAGAGGATACACTAGAAATGGACATTACCCTTTGAAGCTTCCAACGAGATATCTTGGATAAATTACCTTCCATTACCTACATTCATTATTATTATTATTATTTCTGCAAACAGTGTTATTAATACACTTATTTTTTTAAGTGACCTAACAATAGATATTATTCTAAAAACGTTCGCATTTTGCGAATTATAATTTATTTAAAAAATCTCATCGAATATCCGGTTAATCTAGTTTACTACAATGACAACAGTTGATAAGAGAATACAACCGTCGATACTTCCTACCGATACTGTCTTATCATTCAGGTATCTGTCGTACCGACATAATGTTGTTGATAGAAAGAGTAGAGATCCCTTTTATCAACAAAACGCGACCCCTAATGACCTTAATAATTAAAACAAAAATCAACTATGACTCACAGTATGAAGAATCGTATTTGGATTGCGAGTGAATAACTCCAAACTCACCTGAAACAATAAAAAAAAATCAACATTACTTATCAAACGTTTCAAATAGTCTAGTGTCTTTACAAATGAGTGAATGAAAGCATGATGTACGATAATATAAATTAAGAAAACAAAACTCTTTATTTTATTTAAAAATAAATTCATATTTAATGTTTTTTTCTATGTAATTTTTCTAATTTTCAGACAGTACCGTTGCGTAAATCAGGAAACTTAGAATAAAGAAACTTCTATATATTGTAGTATATGTATGTCGTGTTATATGTGTTATAAATATTAACAAATCTCCAATAATTAAAGTGCTTGCTGGTGTACATGAAACAAAACAAACAAGCATGCGACACATCGTCACTCTGATTTGCTATACTTTACGACGCAAATTACGTCTTGTTTACACATGTTGATTCATCCGATCCATTCCGTGGGGATATTTTCGATCGAGTAAATAGTCGGCTTTGATTATTCGCAGAATTACGTGCAACTTTTCTATCTGCATCAAAACGAGTCATCAAAATAAAAGACGTGTCTCGGTCGCTTGCCACAAATGAAAAAATTATTTTTGTATATACATTCCACCTTTTTTAAAACAATTGCGAGTAACAAACAAAAAAAAATGTTACTGCAAAATGTTTCCGTTGCAATACATCGTTTTTATTTCCAAATCAATGTAGTGTTGAGTACAGCGCTTCTCGTTTCAAACTTTTCTTTCTTTTTTTTTTTTTTTTTTTTTATTTTGCAAAATCATTTCGAAGGAAATGACGAAGCGAAAGGTTTTTTAAAATTCATTCTATATTTTGATTTACCTTCGTATTTGTATTTTGATTTTCGTTTCAAAAATACTCTTAGCAAAAACGGAACGTTTTGTTGAGATTGCATAAAGGTATTTATATCCTGCTGTGATCCACGTTGAAAATCTGCGCAAAGCGTATTATTTAGTTTCAGAGATTAAAGCCGCGCGATTTCACTTGCGTCAACATAACGCACGCCCGATTTAACAACGCACGCTTAACTTCCGTACGGAAATGATTTTACGCATAGAAATTAATTCTCCTGTTCAAACACAAAGTGGTGCACGCAGTGGCACAAGCGAGATAATATTAATATTAATTCTAGGAACAAAATAATCAACTTGATAGCACACTTCATGACTCTTCTTGTCTCCGTCAAGCGGCGTTTGAAATCTTTCCGTTCGGAAATATAATCCATATAATAAATAAGCTGTCATCATCTTAATTTTCCATTAACGCTCTCATATATATTTTCGATAAAATTAATTATTTTATTTCTATAATTTTAATCATCATCATCATCATCATCATCATCATCATCATCATCATCGTCATCATCATCATCATCATCATCATCATCATTATTATTATCTGTGTCTTTTCATTTAATATTGATGTTAATAATCAATATCAAGAAAATATATGTTAAAAATTTGATATTTCCCGTGAGACTCTCACAGAAATATCCCGGGATAGATCTAGGTCAGATATATTGACACTATCTTGTCGTATCATAGCTCGTGTGTACAAGAGTAATCCCAAAGGATCATTTCGCATCTTGTAACACTCCTTTCGACCCTCACGCAAGATAGGAACTAGATAGAAAATCCTATTACAATTAGCTAAATCGTCAGAGACAAGTATGTCGCTTCGAAATGATTAATTAATCGCGAATAATGATCGACGATACTCTTCCCAGTCAACAGTTGCCAGGTGGAAATGAAACTACAGCTGATTCATTTTCGATCTCATATACTCGACTCATTGACCATAGATACATGCCAATTTGACCTATTGATCGAAATTACCCATTGTGACAATATTAGCCGTCTTGATCATCTAATATGTGCCATCGATGGCGATAAGCTCAATGATTATCAAGGGATACGTCCCTTTATTAAAACTATAATTTGAACACGCCCCATTAAAGTTTGATCTCGACAGTTTATATATCGAACATAAATAATTATAATAAATAAAGAAGACAAACGAAAGATCCTGACATACGATAATAATGACGGGTAAAAATGTTTCCAACAAGTTTTGCGAGGCAGCTTAGGGGCGTCACGAGTGTGTAACGTGTAAGTTTTATGTACAGTTTTATTTAAAGTTGAAGTACGCCTAACGTTGCACGCTTTCTTTTACAAATACCACCACGTATATCCTCGAAACGCAATAAGAATTCTCGAAATTCTTCTCCGACCGTCTTCGCTCAGCCGAGAATTCCAGAATGCCATGAGTAACTTCAAAATAACTTTACTCTCGGTACTTATCGACGGAGCTTTCAAATTAGCCGGCCGTCTATCAATGTTTCGCTGACATTTTGAAATCGAATAGCGAGGGATTTCTTCTCGATTTCGCGAGAAATTCGTTTCCAGTGAATGATTTCAGAGGAAAGTAACACGTGCTCGGACACTCCGCGGGGCAAACGTGCACAAATATTTGAGAACCGACAAATTTGAGTAAGATAACTTTGAAGCATCGCCAACTTTCCCATGGGGAAACAAATCTTTAATTTCCACGACGAAAGAAAATAATTCTCAATTCTTAATTTGTTAAATTTACATCAAGTTAAATTTAATTTGGAATATAACAATCTTGAAAAGTAAATCGGCAAGCGATAAATTTGTATTAAAATTTTCTTCAATCTTGCTATAAAAAGGTTTTATATTTAAACATTAATTAAAATAACCGAGTGTAATTTAAGCCTCGTTGCTTCTCGGGTGATTAATAATATTACATACGCTCGATAACATCTATATGTATAAAGTGTGCCTTCTGGGAATTACGGAAACGCACGATTTATATGCGCGATACGAAAATTAAAAATCACTGATTCAGCTAATTCCATAGATAATCCCACGGAGAAGCGAGAAAGGCTGGCTTGAACAAATTACAGCCCGAACATTGCGAAACCAATTACGGAAATTAGCTCGTAAACAACCTTCTCTCGAGGGGGCGACTGATACTTCTTCACTCAGACGATCCTGAAACTTATGCAACCACATGCTAATCTTTACGGTTTGTAAACGGCGCAATTAGACTTTGGCCTATCCGTTCTATTACGAGTTCGCAGATGCTGAGAACTTTGTGCGATCATATAAACCACTATTCACGACCAGTTTGCCGTTAAGATCTCGCCACACCCACGTCTCCGATTGTAAATTTATTCAAGAGCCTAGATGATCTTGATCGGTCACGCTCAACCTATCCAGCCTGAACAAACAACTGTCAGCCGACGAGTCTTCGCTT